TATATTTTTTTTTTTCCTTCCTTCCTTCCTTCCTTCCTTCCTTCCTTCCTTCCTCACATCACTCCCACATACTGAGGCTGGAATGGATTTTTTGGCCTTGTCAGAATAATGTTTTTAAGCTTGGAACTCTGGAAAGTGGAGTCTGTGATTTTCCCATGAGGAATGCTTTAGGACTGTAGTTACCCACAGAGGGCTTTGCTTAGGGACAGTGCCCTCCGCCTCCCCCAGGAACCTGGAATTGGAAAACCATCCCTTGAGAGCTTAAAGTTCACATCTGAAGGTCAAACATTTCACCCAGAGTTACGCCGATATCTGACAGTTCAATCAAACAGCAGGACCAAAGGTTTACGCCCTGGTTTTACCACGGACATCAGAGTGTCGTATTGTCTGTGAATTCCCCTCATTTTCTGCAGACAGCAAACCGTCCCACTGCTCCAAGTTGATGAAAAGCCCCCTGAGCCCGACCTCTCTGCTCCCTCGCTGCCCATCACTCAAAGCAGAACTAATGGCAAAGACTGGGCTGTTTGCATTGGGAATCTGCCTGTGGCACACACAGTCGCACCGCGAACACATGCTGCATGCCTGTCATTCTCCCTGTAAGTTATCCAAGAGTGAAACCTTGCAGCGCTTTTATGGCTTCGGTACAACAGAGGCTAAATAATACAAAGGCGGAGAGGCTCAGCAACAAGTGCTCTCTTTTGTACCATTCTTCTTTTTTTGGATGTCTTCTAGTGGGATTTTCTAAACGTTTAAACTCTCATAATCAGGTCCACCTAGGATGATTTATGCTCATTCTAATTCTGCTATATCCCTAAAGCATCCAAGGAATTCTGCAGAGAAAGGCATACGTGTCTTTATATAGACCCAAGCCTTGTTGGAATACCAAACAGGCACTGGCCCAACTGTCCTCTTCAAAATAGAGCCCAGGCTGGTCAGGCATCTGCCTGCAGCAGGGTGTGGGAGGACAGAGAGAAGGCATGATGGCAAGGAACTGTTCACCTCATTCAGTAAGAATGGATCAGTATGCTTTAAGCTTTGCCTGGTCTCTACAGGGAGCATAAATTCCACCTTCACACAGTAATCTACACCAGGTGTAGAGATTCAAGAGAACCAACCCTGTGCTCTTTCTGCAGGACAAATCCTGCCATGTTTGAACTCAGAACCGATCTGATCTTATCTCGCTGTTCTCAACAACTTCATATTCCTCATATTATGGGTAAGCCGGGGTTTGCAATAAACGCGGGTGCTGTTTACACCCTTTGACCCCTTTTTCCACATTTTGCTACACTTAAGACGCAATCCTTTAAGCACTGCAAAAATTTGAGACAAAATGAATAAATCTCAGGGAAAGGCTACTCGAACCGATTTAAATGATCTTTCTATGCAGCAAAATAATTTTACTTGACATCATTTCTGTGTAAGAACCAAATAATTTGCAGTGATTTCATGCAGTCGACCAACAGCATCATTTTAAGGCAAATTGAAAATTATTCTTACCTTCCGTATTTTTTCTGAAAGAAATCTCTCATATGATTGTGAAACAGCGCCAGTGCTCCATTACATCCCATTAGATTCAATTGAGTTTTTTATTATTTAGAATTTTTTATTTTTCCCATGTTATTCAGCCCTCTGAGTGTATAAGGGAACAAAGACAGCAGCATTTTGAGGCTGCAGGCAGGATTGTGTTCCCGACTGTCATCACCAACGTAAACAGAGCAAACTAGGGTATATATATGTGTGCCTGGGGTGGAACAGCTTGAACTTATCAGAGGTCATGCTTCCTTGTGTTTGGCTGCAGGTAGTTCACCAGGAGAGAGTCACCTTGGAGTCCCAGCTGGATCTCCTGCGTCCTCTGGCCTCGACATGACCTGATGTCCGGTTCGGGTCCTGGTCGCACTCAAACGCATCAGCTTGGATCCTGTTAGGGCCAAAAAAATGGAAAGTGAAGGTTCTTCTTATTTAAATCTTAAAGGGCTCAGACGTTTTAGAAGCAAAAATGAATCATTGACTTGATTAAAAGGGATCATTCTTTAATCAGGGACCTCTGTCCCATCACCGTATGTTAGCTCTAATGATGTTTGTGTTTGTTTTAATTGTTAGCACATGTAAAATACCACGATTCTGACTTATGTTCTCCTCTCTGATATGCTGTTAGTTTCTACATGTGAAGGTTTACAGCGCATGTAGTAGTTTGCACACATTCCAAGGAGTCTGAATGTCCATTTCCTCTGATTTCTAAATTTTTGGGGTGTAGCATAAGTCCCCTCATACATGACCTAAAGCAGATAAAGGTGCTACAGATTCTTTTTCCTTTAAAAAAAAGTTATGAACGCACACTAGTAACAGTGTTAGGCAAAAACCTTGAGTATGGAGGATAAAAGTACAGAACGACACGGCTAAGAATGTTACCTCTAATGATTTGTATAAGATGTGCACATTTCGCTAGAGAAGTTGCTGTCTTTCTGTTTTTTTTTTTACTCAGACTCTGGTGCCAGTTTTACTGTTACACTAGTTTAAAGAATTTTTTTTTTTTTAAACAATGTGACAGTATTCCGTATTTGTTTCGAAGCATTTGAACCCACGTCTTAAAAAAAAAAAAGGGAAAATGAAGGAAATATAGAAACTGGAAAAGTCAGTTAACATGAGCAACATAAATTTTAATTTTTAAAAAAAAATTTTTTTTT